CATTTTCTATCTAAAATGACAAATATAAGTGGATTTATACCTAAGGTAAATGTCTAACAGTGTACATTTATGTGTATTCAGTGTGTCTTTTTCTTTTATTTATAATCAAATTCAGATTTTTATTGTTTTAATGAAAAAATGTAGTCCCATATGGAAAATGACTGGAATTAATATGATAAAAGTGAGAAAATCCCACTTTTTTAGCCATATAGATTTATTAGTTTAAAAAATTCCTTCAGATTTGTGCTCAGGTAAGCTTAGAGAATACACAGACCAAAGGGAATTGAACATTTTAGATATGAGCATTGATCTATGTGAAAAAAAAGAAAGTTTCAAAAGAAGGCAAGGTACCTCTGTACTTTTGTGGATAAAACTTTGCTTGTACTGTGTGTATTGGTTCCATTGGTTAATAATAACACCAATTATACGGCTCAACACTGTAAGAGTCGATTCAGGGCTGTGTGTGTGTGTGTGCGTGTGCGTGTGTGTGTGTGCTGGTCCGTTCAGGTGGAGTGGGCAGAGTGTGTGTGTGTGTGTGTGTGTGTGTGTGTGTGTGTGTGTGTGTGTGTATGAGTGTCCCTCTCGGCAAGAAAGAAAGTTTTGCATGTTTAGACACTGGGGGACGGGCTAGGAGTGGATGTAGTGAGGCATGCAGCTTTGTCAGAATCTGTCACTGCCAACGTCTGTGGACCACCCAGGGGCTACACACACACACACACACACACACACACATATCCCTTCAGTCCAGTGCCCCACATCCACATGTACGGATGTGCCAGGCTGTCCATATTTTTTTCTCATTTAGCTTCTAGCAAAAAAAAGTTTAAAAAAACCTGCTTTATCTGCTTCATAATGTCTACACTCTTAAAAATAAAGGTTCTTAAATGGTTCTCATTTATATCCCATGTTTACAAACATGCTTCTTCAGAGATATTGAAAGGTTCTTTAGGGAACCAAAAGTGGTTCTTCTATAACATTGGAGCTTATCTTGAATATTTGAAATCTGTATGTGTTTATTTATATATGTGTGTAAGTTTGTAGGTATGTAATTATCTATTATTTTATTTATTGATGTGTCTGCTCTAAATCCACTTACACATACCTAATTATACTCACTTTGCAAAGAAAAATGCAGTTAAGGTTCTTTACTGACAATATCCACAATATGCTCAGAAAAGTGTGTTGTGACATCATCATCATATTGCGCACTTCTATATTGCACTGTGTATGCATGCCAAGTTCATCCTAGTGGGGAAGCATTTATATTTTGCAAACATTTAAGAATTTGTTGAAAAAAGTTAAGACAAGCCAGCCTCGCAGGTTTACACAGAGTGTGCTCATCCCCAGCATTAAAGTTATTGGGTACTGGGTAAAATTTTGACAGTGTCCATATTTTCACTTAGGTATGTCTCTGTAATTACAATGTATAGTAGTCATCGTTACACCCAATACGTGTGAAAACCTGAGAACGTTTAGTACGTATATAAATTTAATACAAAGATATGTTTGATGGAAGAATGAGAAAGGTTATAACTATGTTTGAAATGAGAAGGAAAGAAATTAATTTAAAAATACATTAGAAATGTTCACAAAAGGGGTAGCAGGTTCAGGGCCGTTTTGTAGGGGCAATATTATTTAACTTCTAAAAGAAGCGCTCAGACATAAAGTCAGCTTGGGTCAGCTTGGTAATTTTGTTATTTGCAGAAGGTTACTTTGTTTCTGCTTGCATCATATGCACCGCTGTGTGAAGGCAAGTGACTCCTTAACATTTTTCCGTCAGAAGCAGAGCTGCCACTTGCCCTGAATTCAACACACATTGCATATCGTTATATTGTCTAGTTTTGTCCCGTTTGGTGTCAGTGCAATTAATAATTTAGACCATTTATAGAGTAAGGCTGCAGTGAATCCAGGCTCAAAAGAAAGGACAAAAGGCTTCATGCATTCATTTAACTTAGTTCACCGTAACAGAGCCTCCAGTGTTGACATTTAGGCCTCGCACTTAGCAGGGAATCATTTAAAAGGCGGAGGTTTATTTCACTCTTGCTGCCTGGTCATGTTTCTGTATTACAGGGTTATAGATACTTTTTTTTATTGAAATGCGACCACAGCAGATGAGGTCTTCAAATCTTGCCTATGTGAAATGTGTGAAAATTAAGTGTGCACCACCATAGAAAACTGCCATGGAAACAGTGGTTAGGTAAAATCGCTCAAGTCAGGCCAAAACTAATTCACTGCACTCCTGGCTACTTAAGTAGAAAGAGGGAGAACATGTCTGGCCTTTGGAGCTGGGAAATTCGCTTGACGGCTTCAGGGGCCATGACACCAAGCCTTGTTAAAATTTTATTGTAGCATGGTGGAGATCTGTCTGGTTACCTCATTACACAAGCTGCCAAAATAATGGGAACTATCGCAGCCAAAAGGAGGGAGAAAAACAAACACAAAGACTTTGAGGTTTACTTCAATACCAACTTTGAGTTACAGCACTGACCACTTAGACTTAGCTCGCCCTGTAGGGTGATTCAGCTCGGGAGTTTTTTATTTATTTATTTATTTATTTTTCTCTTTTCCCAGTCTGCTCAGGTGTGTGCTGACCTTCAAATTAGAAAGAATACTTTTTCTGCCCAGGGATGCCATGCCCATCCTTTGATGCTGTCAGCTTTGTGAGATGTTCTCACTTTTAACCCTACAAAAGGCCCACATGTTGGACAGTTCTTGCAAGTCTGTATGTGTTTCTTTTGGTGGAAAAATGTTTATTAACACTTTTTTATTGATCGTTGTGTTCTATTTTGATGTTTATTTGTTTTCTGCTGTTTACCTACCTACCGCAGATAGTGCTCGTCGATGTTTCTGGTCATCATCAGAGATTGGAAAAGTAATCTAGTCACTTTGTGCCAGCTTCATGTTGTACACTTATTAATGCTGGATAATCTTGTAGATACCCTACTTGCAAAAATATGAACAGTACAAAACTAATGATGAGCCAGAAGAACCCTGTGATTGGACATCCTGAACAAAAAAAATTAAATACAGTTATCTGTTCTTGAAGTGCACATTCGGTTTCTACCAGGTTGCAAAAAAGATTCATTGGAGCAATGCCATAGAAGAACCACTTTTAGTTCCCCTAAGAACTGTTCAATGGATGGTTCTTCATAATATGGTCCTCCTCATAACAGTTTTATACCGATTAAAGGTTTCTCTTAGAACCACACATACATGCCAAGAATCCTTTAGGAACCTTTGTTTTTTCTTCATCTAGTATATAGACTGCTGAACACAATTACATTGAAGGCCTAGCAGGTAGCGGGGACAGTATGGTCAATTACACTGGGGCATATTGCGCACAGTAAGCAAGCAGTTTACATAGTCTGTTGTTATTGTTCATTTAAGGTAATTTTCATATGGGAGGGTCCATGACCCATTTTTAATTCATTGTTTTCGTGATGTCATGAAAAGCAGTGCATTTACATATATGTTTAGCCTATAGGAGTTCAGCCTACCCACTCATGTTGAAGTTAGAAGTAGTGTTTCAGGCCAGGCAGCTTTTTGACTGAAGCACAATACACGGCAGAACAGAGGTCATGTACATATATCAGTATATATGTGCATATATCATGTACATATAATGCACAGTAACAAAACAGCCTATTTAAATCTAATGGATATGGAGAGGTTGGAAAATGGTCATGTAAAAATGAATTAAATGCCCACAAAGAGTTGGACCACAAAAAAAAACAAACAAAAAAAACAAAAAACAAATATACAACACAAATGTAGGATACATACCCTTTAATTACACTTGGAAACATACTCTTAGGAATATGCACAGCTTTTGTAAGTGTATTTTAGTTTTATTAGAAATTTTTAAATAATTCACCAAACTTAAAATAAAAATTATTACAAATTAAAGAAAAAAAAATCAGTAAGTTAAAACACATTAGGTTAAAAAAGTGAATTAAAAGCAAACAAAAAATCGTGCAGTAAAAATAAATAAAATAAATGCAGCAAAAAAAAAAAAAACATATAGCCACGTCGGAAATTTAAAGGCACCTATTTCAAGGTAGAACAATCTGCAAGTATGTTGGAGAAAGTTTAGTTATTGTCTGCTTGAAGGAATAGTGTAGTCTAAGCCAATAAATAAATAAATGTATTCATTCATCATTCAAAAGTGCGTAACGTTATATGTTTTCTTGTCTGCCTCATATTTCAGCTTTTCCCAATAAATAAATAAAAAAATAAAAAAATACATAAATAAATAAATAATCTGTTGAAGATTTGGAGTAGCTTCATGAGGAAAGAGCAAGGGTAAAAGCCAGAAACGCTCACGGGCACAGTTACCCCTGAACTCTTCAACGCTGGAGTCACCCGAGCGCCTGAGTACTTCACTAACGTTTAACCTTATTCCAGTGAAGGGTATGCAGCCGGTGTGTGCAAGCGGAGCTTCTGAACACCGCACACAAACCCAACTATCAGAACTCCACAGCCTGCCCGACACAAAAACACGTTAACTACGACACGCATTATTGAAAAAGGCTTTTAATATGTAGGTCTATCTTTCTGCCTTAAGGCTTCAGATCCGATCAGCGAATCTCGCGCTCGAACTCTCCTCATTGCTAGCAGGTTAGCAGACAGCTGTGCGTCTATGTGCGCGCTCGAGTGTGTGTGTGCGTGCGTTCACAGCCGCTGTGTATACTTGTGCGTGCATATGTGTGTATGTGTATGTGCATGCGCTCGGGCGGTAGAGTGAGAAAGCGAGCACGCGCGCGCTTAGAGCGCCCCTGCGCGCGTTTTCGGTTGTCCGTCTAGCGCTTTTGGTACGATCCTTTTGCACGTGCGTCGTGTGTGTGCGCGAGTGTGTGTGCTCTTCTCTTTCAGCATCTCCTCCCCTCTCTCTCTCTCTCTCTCTCTCTCTCTCTCTCTCTCTCTCCCTCTCTCTCTCTCTCTCTCTCTCTCTCTCCCTCTCTCTCCTCCTCCTCATCCTGCTGCAGGAGCGCTGGAGCGCAGGCAGAATCGCGCGCGCCGATCGCTGCGGTCTCTGTTTGTGTTTTTGTTTTGTTGTTTGGTTGGAGACTCCGCGTGCGTGCTGAAGTTTCTCTCCGTTTTCCACCCTGCTTTTTAACACAGAGGACGATGGAGCAGTAAGCAACAGCAGCAGGTAGGAGCCCGGTGTGTGTGTGTGTGTGTGTGTGTGTGCACGTGCGCGCGTGCGTGTGCTTTTATCCACGGCTCCACTCGGCTGGTTTCAGTATGAGTGAGGTGTATTGTGTTGCTGTGAGCTGAACTGAACGGTGGAAGTTATGAGGCTGGCTGCTTTGTTGTGCTTTTACTCCGACAGATGAACTCGTGCTCTAGCTGTAGGGTTTACTGCGCTAGACTAGCAGCAACTCTGCTAAAGTCCTGATTAGGACGATGTAGTCTGTAGTTTTAGAGTGTGTGTGCGTAAGAGAGAGAGAGAAAGAGAAAAGGGGCAGCCGGCGTGTGATAAACAGTAATAAGTTTCCAGTCACTAAGCTATAACCGAGTTATAACAGTTATTCCAATCACTCCTACAGGTTAATATGCCAGCTATCTCGCTGTAACTTTATAAACAAGTTTACCTGCCCAAAAGAGTAAAATAACCAGGGCGAAAAGCTGTCTCTTTCTCTGCTCAGAAAAGCTGAAAGGAGTGAAAGTGATCTGCGTGAATGTAAACTGTGTTGCTGCTGAAACAGTGCGAGCTTTCCCTCACAGATTTTTCAGCAGCTACTTAATCATTTAGCTACTTATTTGAAATCGAAATGAGCAAATCATTGTTTACCTGATGCAAGTTCATAAGAGCTTCAAAGGAGCTTCTAAATTTATAAGGACTTTATATTTTCAGAACTGATAGAAACTAAACAAAGTGTTATTAAAATGTTATTAAAAATATACTTATGAAGATTTGAAGACTGCTGTTTTGATTACCAGACTGGCATTCTCTTTGTTAAAGCTGTATGCGACTGTAGCTTAGAATGAGGCTGCAACTAACCTGCCACAGTTTATTCTAACCTAATGTAATCTGGGCACTTGCAGACTAGGAGTTTTGCTCATAATTCATAATACAAGGAATATGTTTTACATTCCTTTGAGCGTTTTGGCATGCTTTTTGCGATTTATCAGTTGCAGTTCTTTCTGAAACAGCATTGATCCTAGCTTTGCCCCTAAAACCCCACAAACCCCTCTCGCATGAGTGTGTTAAGACATGGATCATACCGAATGTGTTCTGGAGGTAGAAGTACAGCCGCATAACTCTGGGTTGTATGAACAAAGTGCGATTATTGTAAAGCCCACACAGAGAGCAGAGTGTATGGCAGCAATGGTATCAGCATGTACTGTAATTGCACTGGAAGCTGGAGCTGATGATAGTGACTGGTAAAAGATTTCTGGAACATCCAAAGCAAGCTTTTGTTTCAACTTTTACGCACAGGCCTGTGGAAAGATCGTGTAGCGGAAAAGAAATCATTTGTTTAAGTTTTCGTAAATATTTTTATTTTCTCTCTCTTAGTTCTTGTTAAATTCCTTACTTAGTTTAAAATGAGAGAACATTTATATCATTCTGTTTCTTAACATAACCTTTTTTTTTTTGTCTTTTTCTTGGGCAGGACAATTCAGCAGTTCCAGGAAAATAATAATAATTATGAATTATGCGCCAAAATCCAAATATACAAGCCTACAATAGCCTAGTGTTATTGCTTAGCGAGGGCATAATCTTTGCAGAACAACATATAATTTAGATGAATGTATTTGCACTGAGAGACAAATGGATTAGAAGGGATGTAGTAGTATGCAGTGGGGGGAGGTGTTTGTGTGTGTATATGTGTGTGTGTGTCTGTGGGTCAAATAAATCTTATGTGTGGTCGTAATCAATTTGTGATGTTGCCTTGCGCTATGTCCCAATCCATGTATAGGCAAGAAAGGGAAAAGAAATCTGATTTTATTATTTCGCATTAACTCTGGAATGATTGATAGGACAGCACTGAAACTCTGAAGTGTCATTTATATCATGACAGGAGCAGCAATTTTTTTTAAAGGGCTGCTCGACAGGCCTCGGTGTGTGAGGTAAGGAGTGTGAACGGGGTAATTCCGAATTTCGCATCATTCGAAGCGGCATGGAGGCATCATATATTACAGTAATGATGTTAATACAGTCTCATACAGTGGCCCAGGCTTGCTCTAAAAGCAGAGGGCAGATGCTCTTGGGCAGGGGGCAGTCAGGCTAATGGAAGTTGCTTTTTTTCCCCGGATTGATTGACAGCCCGAATCTGAAGTGTGCAGATGTTTGGAAAGCATTTGATGTGTCTTGGCTCAGTACACCTGCTCTCTCTCTCTCTCGCTCTCTCTCTCTCTCTCACACACACACACACACATATATATTATATATTATATATGTGTAGTCCTGGTAACCAACGGCAAATTATTCTTTGTCAAAAAAGTGTTAATCAGTGTCAGTAAGATGTGAGAAAACTGATTTGTGTACTTTGATTTTCCGCACAACACAGAAGCGATAATGTAAAAACACAATTACTATTAATCTTCTTCAAAAAATTAGGAGGAAGTAGGAAATGAGGAAACAAGCAGTGTTGTTTTTGACACTGCCAGGAGTTTCATTGCACTTTTCTACATGATGATGTGGGTTGATTCACCTTAACTAAATCCAGCGTATGAGCAGTGTTGAAGCTTTAACTGCAAACACACACACGCGCGCACACACACGCACACACAGGGTTTGGTATGGTGTGTAGTGTTCGGAACAGGCTCATTGCAGCCCAGCCATGCTGAAAGAGGGAGCCGCTTGTATTCTGGCCACCAAACAGCAGCCGCCTGAAAGCGCACTGGCGTGAATACACATGCCAAGTGATAGGCTTGCAGCTGGAGAAAGAGCGGCACCTTTCCTCACTTGCCGTTCTTTTGTGTCCATGTGTGTGCGCGTGCTCCTGGTCGTCTGTGTTTAAAACACGAAATTACACCTTGGTTCTAAGCATGTCAAGGCCCATTGCCACTTTGTGATACATTATGAAGTGTGTCGTAAGACAGATGGATCAAAGGTGAATGTTTTTTAACCTTTAATCTATTGGTGTGAAATGAAACCTATCAAATTTCTTTTAATTTTTATCTTTTTTTTTATTTCAGTAGTGTATTATTTGTGTATTAGCTTTTTTCAGAAGGGTTAGAAGGTTATAAGTTAACTTGTTGTCAGCATTAAGCTTTTTGGATAACCTAAAAACATTGGTCTTTCTCCAAAAGCACCTCGGACCATTTGCATTAGTGAAACTTACCTTTATTGCAAATGTATACACAAACTACCAGTACAGTGTAAAACTGGGAAAACACTGGGAAACATTTGAACTCACAAGCTCGCAAGAATACATACATACATACATATATACACACACATGTATAGGCGTTGGACATTTAATATTGGGTTACTGCAGAAGAGTAGAACGTTTACGCAGAGCAAGTGTGCAAAAATGTATTTTATTCATTATACTCTACATTGTACTCTACATGTAATGCTGATCTAGGTGGATTTCTTAGTTTTGTAAATGTGTGTTTTGATGTTTTATTTTTTAGTTTTATCTGACTAAATGGACAGCCAAGGGGTACACACTGAAAAATGCAATGTGAGAAATGAATTTGAAATGTTTGTGTGTTTTGGACTGATCTAAAACATTGCTTTTGTTCGTCTAACCTATTATATTATGCCAGTTAAAAAGCTTACCACATGAAGCACATTTTTTAGTTGACCTGGCCATACATTTTTACAGTGTATACATTTAAGGTTTCATCGTAGACTTACCGACCCCGTATGGTTGCATGAACTGTTATTCTGTGGACACATGCATGTTTATATTATACGGATACACTGTTATTAAAAGAACACACACACCGCAGAGTGTACACTCACATGGAGATGGAGATGAAGTGTCTCACTCGAGTGCGTCCCACCCTCCTCTTCCTCTGAACACCTGCTGAATGAGCCAGAGCCCACTGATTCAGTTCAGCTTGCCTTTATTCTCATTATAACAGAACAGCAGAACCGGAAGCTCTCTCGCTGTTCTTAGTGATGCGTAATCGTCGATCAGTTGCCACTTTAAGTGCTTGCACACTCGTCCTGTGTGCGTTTTTGGCTCGCATATGCTGATATTTCAAGAGAGGAAGTGGATTCTGCCTTTAAAACTTGCCCCCCTGATCTGCCCCCCTTTGACCCTCCTTCTTCTTAATTGCAGAGAAGCCTTTTATTTCAATTTTGTCATTCCAGTTCATGCTCAACTCGCCAGAACACTGTGATGGAGAAACACTTCAAAGGGGGATTATACACGCATGGTAGAGTGCACACACACAAACACACACACGTGCACACACTCTACACTCTAACACATTTTAAGGTTTTAGTTGTTGGCTTAGCTGTGTTGGGAAGGGGTGTGTATGTGTGCTGGGGTGGGGAGGTGGGGGGGTGTCTGTAATCAGTCCGCAGCCTCTCGCTTTCCTTTTTTTTCCCTTTCTGTTCTGTGCCAAAGAGCGGCAAATTACCTTTCCCTCTGAGTCGCTATGAAAAATTCATGGTCTCCTCCCTTTCCAAGCTCTAAAGGGTGCCATTATGTCAACGTCTGAAAATACTTTATTTCACGTAGGCGCCTTTTGTGATGGTCTACGATAAACAAATATGACTGGAAGGGTGGAAGTCTCGCTTGCAGGCCAGCAACACGTCTCTGATATCTGCGGAAAGAAATATGCTCCGGAGTTAGTGGCGGAAAAAGTTGGATGGATCTGCGGCGTTAGGAGCGAGCTTATGTCTTTTTTGTGAAATATGTGCTGTGACCAGAGAGGAAGACAAAGCTGGTGTGAATTCTGTCGAGTGTGAAACAGGGGGAAAATCACTGGCGGCTTCCAACCGCTCTCTACCTCCAACCTCCGCTGTGGTCTATTTTTCCTTCTTCTTCCTGCTTTTATGGCATCCTGAAATAAACAGATGCCTCTTTCTTTGTGTACGGCGAAGACATTGGCACGGCGAGATGTTCGTGGATAGCGTTTCTAATTGATAACAATATTTGCGTTAAGGGTGTGTATATTTTTATGTGGTGATATAGAATGTGCTGGAGGCCGTTCTACAAAGCACACAGCTCACTCTGCCAATAG